ACCAGGAGTCCAATACGGCCAAATCTGTTCACGCCGACCTTCACCATTGCGTCTCCGGAGCGAGGCTGGCACTGCACGAAAAGATGCGGCTGTCTCTAGAACAGGGAGGAGCAGAGAGCCTCTTTTACAGTTTTTGCAGCTTTGTCTGAAACTGTGCAAAATAATAATAAAGGCAGAAATGTAAAGCAAAAATTACTATCTCAAGTGTGCCTTCTGTCTTTTGTTTTCCAGCTGCCATTATTAAGGCCCAGGCAGGGAGAACAGAGTGAAGAGTGTTGCAAATTGCGGCTTAGAGAACAGCATTAAAATCCCGGCAAGAAAATAACAGGTCTCACCAGGCAGTGGGTGCCTGGGAAATTCTGAGGGCACGATGTGGAGCTCCAGCTGCGGTCCCTGGATGCATGGTGGTAGATTGAAGTTCAAGGAACACCTGGAGTCTGTGAGCTGTGCAGAATGCAAAAACACCATCAGCTCCACCCCCTTGCTGGGTTCTTTTCTCAGGCAATAGGGGCAAAGCAGGATCTAACTTCCCTTCTACACATGGGAAAACCCAGGCTCAGTAAGGGTCCCAAGGTTGCCCTTCAGTCGGACTAAAGTGCATGCTGTGTGTGTGTGTGTGCGTGTGTGTGTGTGAGTTTGTGATTTTAAACTCTCTGGAAGCCATCCTCGAACAGTTTAATTGACCCCCCCCATTATCTGAGTATTTTTTTCTAAGTCAGTGTTTTTACAAAGGGTGGTCCTTAGAAATTATGAGTGAAGAGGCAACCTGATGGCTCAGCTGGTAAAGGCGCTTACTGCCATGCCTGATGACCCCAGTTCAGTCCACACAATCCAGACCTGTATGGTAAGTGCAAGCTGTCTTCTGATTCCCCCTGACTTCCATTTGCATGCTCATCCACGCAAAATAAATAAATGTGATGAAAAATTTTAAAAAAGTTACCAGCGAATTAGATTCACCTCTCCACACTTCCTTTTGAGTTTGACCCTAACAGTGGTGCCTAATCATCTATTAAATTCTTAACCCCCCCCTCCACTCTGCGCGTGTGTGTGTATGTGTGTGTTTTCACGCCTGTGCTGGTTGTCAGAGAACAAGTCAGTTCTTTCCTCCCATGTGGACTCCTGGGATAAAACTCAAGCAGTCAGACTTGGCAACAAACGCTTTTATCTGCTGAGCCATCTCGTGTCCACTATCTGGCTTTTAAGGAGTGTTCCTGGTGATCTTGATGCACGCTCAAGTTGGATAATCACTACATGCTATCGCTTCTTATGGCAATCTCTCCTTTAGATAGGACTGCAAATCGGAACTTTGCGTAGAAACAAGGCTTAAAGTTTTTCAAAAGGCGTAATAATTACTGTTACTGCTGCATAACTAACCCCAGGAATTGCTGGGTTTCTTCCAGGATAGGCTCGCATACAGGCTGGAGAGAGAAGAGGGAAGGGTCCACAGGAGTTGGGAGGAGGGACTGATGACAATTTTTCGTGGTCGACTGGCTTTTTGAAAGGGCAACTTCCAAGGGTACATTAACCAGCTAGCGAATCCACTTGTTTCTGAGGGGAGGTGGGAGGTGGGGGCGGGGGTGG